CTCCAGGTTGAGCTGTTGTTCAGCATCTTAGCTGTAGAGGGCAGTGTCACTGGCCCTCATATGTGGGATCCGAACCGGGGCCCTCTGGTGTCCCAAGCGAGTTCTTAACCATCCCGCCACTCGGCCGGCCCAGCATTTTTTTCACATACATCCAACATAGCACCTGTGCGCTTCTTGGTTACACATCTATAAATTAAGCTGAGTGCTCTGAGGGTAGGAGGCTTACATATCTGTTTACTGTACTTGCTACAAATGAAGTGCTCAGTAAGTCATTGAATAAAAGGACTATGAATTAAAAAGATGTGGGCAGTTGTTTTAACAGAAACTCATATACTTTGAGAGAGTGAATAAGATGGAGTCACCATAGTCAAATTACTAAAGTCCAAGTAAGCTGAGGCATGAGGAAATGATTGTATTCTTGCTTTAATTAGCGTGAGGACTTAAACTTTTGAACTTTTTAGTTGTGCATCAGTGCGTGGAGATAAATTCCCATGGACAACCCTCTGAAGGACTTGGGAACGAATGAAGCACTTAGAAAAACTTTATCCATTACCCAGACCATGGGACTTCTGGAACATTACCATCACAGACCATCCAGAGGCTCAGGATGCAGGACTGGTGCTTTTCAAGAAGGTACTTTTTTTTTTTTTTAAAAAAGATTTTATTGGGGAGTTGGGGGAGGGGAAGACAAGTTGCTGTCCTTTTGTTCTTCAGTCTAATTGTGGAGGACGTTGCTTCACTGGCCCATGTTGGTATTATCATTGCGCTCTTCCCGAATGAGGCAGATCGATCGCCCATCTCTGGACGGCTGCTCACAGCGGTTCTTGGCAGCTCCTGCTGGCTGCCGGCCACTCACAGTAGCTTATGACAGCCCACTGCCACAGGGGCTGCAGCCTCCGCTGTCGCCGGTGACTCACGACAGCTCAGCTCCAGGTTGAGCTGTTGTTCACCATCTTAGCTGTAAAGGGCAGCGTCACTGGCCCTCATGTGGGATCCGAACTGGGGCCCTGCTGCTCAGAGCTGGCGCCCCAAGCCAGCTCTTAACCAACGCACCACTCAGCCTGCCCTCAAGAAGGTACTTTTTACCGTAAGAACTGTTTTCCATTCTCTGGAACACTCTGGTTAGTGCCTAGTTGTGTTTCCGATTTGCAAATCCTAAGATCCTTGAACAGATTTTTGTCATTTATGTCTAACCAAAGCCTCCTGACTCTTGTGCTTGGTCGACACATTCAACTGGGATTGAAGGAAATTCTGTTGGGAATGGTTTCTGAGTAATAGGGGGGAACTAGGCTTTGGAGGCTGACAGGTAGCTGTGCGATCCAAGACAAGTGACTCAACCCCTTTGGGCTTCATTGCCATCTGTAAAATAATAAAACTTAACATAAAGATGATACGGATTGTGTGTGAAAACCCACCGCTGCATCAGGCATATATTAGCTATTACTCCTCAGAAACAATCTCCATAAGCATAGCTGCCACAACATTCTTGGGTTTTCCATGTTATTCTGTTCAATAAAAGCATGTCATTAACTGTTAAGCTGTGATTCTACAGTTTGATTCTACCATCTCATAAATTCACAAATTATAAGTCCTAAACTTGGCTCAGTTAAAAAAAAATATTGTAATATACTCAGATATGAGAACTAGGTCAGTTTCTCTGTCTACCTCTTGTTTGTCTTGTTGCTGGGCACAATGAAGACAGGTTCAATCAGAGACCCTCACTGACAAACTGGGACCAGTCTCAGTTCCCTGGAGACCATCATTTATTTTTGGTAAATGCCATCAATGAATATACATTGTCATTCCCACAGAATAGTCTATAGCATTTAAGTCTTGGAAACAGGTGACAATGGAAAAAAAAAACTTCACAATTTTCAGGTCCTTTAATAATTTAATGTCCTATGCCCTTAAGGCTGTTAGACCCTTAACGTATCAGGTCTGGTTACGTCCCAGTGACAATAAAAGGCCTATTTAACGATGTATACCTAATACACAGCAAAATTCAGAAATTCCAAATGCTGCTTCTCTGTAACGTGTTTTGGCTTCTCTCCTTTGTAATAGGGGTTTGATTTTCCCTACAATGAATGACTGAAAGCAAGTGCTTAAAAATTCCACGCCAAGTCTCAACACTGAACAAACACCCTTCAAAAATGCCCTCTAAGCCTCAGTTTCCCCTTCTGTAAAATGAAGGAGGTGGATCAGGGTGTCGCAGGCCAGACCACATCTTGGAGGGGTAAACTGAACTCACTGCCACAACCGCCAGCAGTGAGGAGTGTGAGAGGAATAGAGATGCAAATATGAATGTGGGAGTAGGGTGGGGGTGGTGGGCCAGGGAGGTAGGTGGCTGGAAAACAGGCCTTTGAGAGGTCAACGTCAGCTCTGAAATGTCAAGTCTCAAAAGTATGTCTTTGTCCTTTGATTTGATGATTTGGTCTAATATGATTGTCTCATTAATTCCAGTGTATGTACTTACTGTAAATTTATGTTATGTACAGAATTAAATATCCCATTTATTAATTTATAAACCATAATAAAACCAGTCAGTTATTTCCCCTCACCAGCAGATCTTGCATTGGAAAAGGAAAAATAATATACAAATTTCAGCAACACTGGAAATTTCATTAAAGCTGAATGGAGGCATAATTCATTTTGGAGCTCAATTACATGTTCAAGGAGTCAGTTACTCTAATAATCATAAAGACAACCATCGTAGTATCTTGGCAGATTTGCAAAAATTATCCCCACTTGTTATTCACCAGTGAGAAAAATTCAACTGCAGACTCGACTGCCTCTGGTGAAAGCGCTCAGCGAGCTCTTGTCACCAGTAACACCCTTCAGGTTTCAGACAGCAATCATCTCGAAACTTGGGGCCAAACTAATTATCAGTAAGCAAACAACAGACAACAAACAGGGACTCCTGAGGCTGGTGGTTCATAAACTCACAGGCCAGAAGGCATCTGTGACCTCTCCAGGAGTGGCCCATTCGTGAGCTGACAAAGCGGAACCTCTTAAATACAAAATTCCAATGATCAAAAACCAACCGACCAGGAGTCAAGCATAAGCTACAACACTTCTTTGAATGGTGAAACGTCTCGTTCACCAGCAGGTAAAAGGTGGACCCCTATCCCATCTGCTGAGGATAATGCTGAAGGAAGAAAGCACCTATCACCATAGACCCCACCAACCCAGCCAGTAGTCCCCTCGGGGAGGCAGGACACGGTCCTTCATAATGCCAAGAAAGATGGAGACCCCGACCTGGACCTTGGCACACAGAGGTACCTGTTGGGCTCACATAATCTTTCTGATGATTTGAACTTGCCAGAGCCCAAACTTTTCGTTGACCACAGCATCAGATTTGGCAAACCAGATCCTAGCTTGGTGCTCGCCCTTTCTCCCCTTCACCAGGACATGATTCGGACCCCAGTGGTAAGCACAAGAACAGGCCGTGGAATCCCAGCACTGTGTTCTTGTCTGTCACATAAACCGTTGAGATATTCTTGATTCATTCTGCTTTCAGCAATTGTGGTCATTCGAGAGGCACTTCTCAACACCTCACTGCTTCCTACAGAATGTCAAAATGTGTCAAGACAGGCATCGCCAGTGGGAACTTTTCTTGTTTTTAAGCATTTAAAAACAAAAGGGTTTTCAACCCATAAGCCAGTCTTAATGCATCCCCTCCTGGGGACCAAGGCATAAATATACACACAACTATAAAATATTCCCTAGAAAAATGCAAGATCCTCATAAAATCAGTATCTCCCCAACATCCTGCAAAGTCATCACAGCAGTGAAGACCCACCAGAAAAGACAAAACGACTATTACAGAAATAGAGCTTGAAACACTGACCATGATTTCCTACTGATCCCTCCCCCCAGCTTTGCAGTCCCCTATTTACTGCCCTGAGAGGGGCAGTGCCCTGCACACACCGATTCTGATTTGCAGGTCAAAGAATCAGCCTCCAAGAATATAATGCTAACTGCAATAGCTGTTCACTTGGGAGTGCTTGCTAGTAACTGCAAACGGCCGTGGAGCTGACAGGAAAACTGAGTCCATCTCCTTGCCTGCTCTGGGGTCTGTATCCATGGCGATTCCACCTTTCCAGAGGATTATCTGGAAATGTTATCTGGGAAGCAGAACAAGAACTCTGACATACATGACTTAGGGAATAAGTCCACGCAGAAAGGTGAAAAAAAACCTGGCCAAGATCTCCGTAGCAAAAGCACCCTCAGATGACAGACTCCAGGAAGGAAGGGCATAAAAACCCTGGAGCTGGAAGGCAGTGGTCCTCACTGCAGGGAGGGCATCCTGCTGCTCCAGGGGCTGGGAGCCCAGGGTCTCTCTCCTCTGATGATTGTATACCATTCCTGTGTACCATCTTCTCGATTGGGCTTACATTCACTGGTTGTCAGAAGTGGTACAGCTGAGGGTGGGGAAGGCGTCACAGAACAGCCCACCCTGTCCACTAGGCTCTACACATCATAGCGATTCAAATTGTATGAGTTTGGGTAGCTCTGCCGGCTGTATTGGAAGTGGTCTGTTAAGATGTTGTTGCGGCCATACTGATAGTCCCCGTGCTGTGGGAAGAGGACGCCATTGTGGGGCTTCTCCAGGGGGCTCCGATGGTGCTCTTTACCGCTCATGTCCCCTGTCGAGATGGGGAGGAGGTGCTTCCTCGCTTGCTGATTTGCATCATACTTGGTCTGCAGGATCAAGAGAGCAGTGGGGGGGGAAAAAAAAAAAAGAGCAGTGGGACACTTGGCTCCTTCCCCAGGACACGCGCATAGGACAGAGGGGAGCTCGATACAGTCAAGCAGCCCTTCAAGGCTGACACGTGTCGACCCGAGCAGGGCTCAGACATGGCCAGTGAACGGTTAATGGAGCAGCCCTCCCTGTTAGCCATCCTGTGTCCTTACAGTGGACTAAACAGATCCTAAATGAGGAGAGAGCGAAATCCTGACAAACCCTCAGTAGACCTGAGAGCCACAGCTGGGAAAAAGAAGGGCAGGGTGGGCGGGCTGCACCAAGACCATAAACCAGGCCGTGGCAAAGCTGGGAGCTGGAACCTGGGCCTTTCAGCTCCTGACAAGACCCCTTCTTTTCCTCCCACCATCATCTCTTGGTGCCTCCCTGGGCATCGAGGGGACAGCCTCCCCCACCCCAAACTTACCTTGTTGTACAGGAAGACCCCCAGGATGGCCGTCATCATGCCCAGGACATTGGTGCTGGTGACCGGGTTCCGCAGCATGATCAGGGACACCGCGATGACCATGATTCTCTTGGTGGCATTGGCGACCGAGTAGCTCAGAGGGCTGATGAGGTTGAGGATGCTGAAGGCGATGACATTCTGGGCAAAGTTACAGAAGCCACTGACAGCCAGGAGCAGGAGCGTCCAGGGCCACTGGGACACGTATGTCTACAGACAGGGGAGCAAGACACTGAGGTCACACGCCTGCCCTGGCAGAGGTGGGGGAGGGGGCGCAGTGGCTTATCGGGGTAACAGTGGGGAGCAGACTTAGGTCCTTGTGTGATACCAGGAGCTTTATACACACAGCCTCTAACCCTTACGACACTGCATGGCACAACAGTCACCACCATCACTATCGTCACCTCCCTCTCCTGCTGAGGAAGTGGAGGCCTGTATAGGGGAAGTCAGGTGTCTAGAGGGCACAGAACACAGCGTGAACCAAAGCCTTCCCTCATCCCTGGACAGTTGAGGGCCAGGGCTCTGGGGTCAGCAGAGAGAGGTCTGCTTAGTGGACCTGGTCTTAGTCTGATCAGGCTGCTGAAACAGGCACCATAGGCTGGGGGCTTACAAACAATAGACATTTATTTCTTAGGCTGGAAAGCCAAGATCAAGGAGATTCCATGTCTGGTATGGGCTTCCTGGTTCATAGACAGTATTTTCTCGTGGGAAATTTTCTGTCTTCAAGTGGTGGGAAGGACAAGGGAGCTCTCTGAGGTCCCTTTAAGGGCACAGATCCCGCTGATGAGGGCTCCACACCCATGACCTATCACCTCCCAAAGGTCCACTTCCTAATACCGTCACATCGGGGGTTGGATTTCAACATGTGAACTTTTGGGGGACACAAACATTAAGACCAGAGCAGACATGATGCATCCTATAAGATGGGGAGGTCCTGGGAAGGCAGCCCCTGAGTGTGTGAAGAACCCCCCAGGAGGGAAGCCAGAGGCCCTGGGTCTGCCCATCACTGAAGCCCTGGGCAGTTGCTTGACCTCTTTGGTCATGGTTTCGTGTCTGTGCAACGGGGGATGAGCCCTGTTGAGCCCACATAATGCCACTGCTGTGGGGATCAAACACGATCATGGCTCCAAAGGTGCTTTAAAACAACTCCAAGCCACACAGACGCGAGAAGACGGTGATATTACCATCAAAACTGCAGTTACTGTCTGACCCTCACCAGAATGAGGCACCTGGATTAAGGGGGCCCAGAAGTCAGAACTCACAACTAGCAGACATCTGGACCACAGAATCCCCCAAAGAGCTTGGGCTGACCCTGGGACAAGCAGATAGGGAGAATCAGGAAGGCCCTGCCCTGGCCAGCTGGCCAGGATTGCCCAGTGCTCAATATTTCTGTGTATTTATTTACGACTGGAAGCCAGGAGGCATACAGCATGGCTCCCATGCTTCTCGGCCCTCTGCAGCCCCACCTTGATACCAGTCTTCAGAACAGGGAACCAAGAGGCTGTACAGACAGGGCTGCCAGTCCAGTGAATGACCTTGGAGATGGCACACCAGCCACGGACAGCCCTAGGCTGTCCGTCTCTCCAGTGTCTGTGACCCAGACAGCAGTGCTGGGACATCCCTGTGTCCCAGTGCGCTGAGGACACAGCGGTCTCAAGACCCAGCATGGCTCTGTCGGATAGCAAAGCCACAGCTGCTTGGTGGTGGCTGCTCTCTGCAGACCAATTCCTGGGCCACAGTGGCCTTGGCTCTGGGAGGAAACAGCTGGCTCCCCCAGCACGGTGACTCTGCTAGGACGGGAGCGGGAGCAATCTTAGGATGGCTGCCTAATTCCATCTCTACCACCTCTCAGGGGGGTGGATCACACAGTCCTCTCAAAGGTGAGCAAGATACACTTAGGTGACCTGCTTAAGGTCACCCAGACTTTTGCCCCTAGTTGGGATAATGGCCCCTGTAGGGCACTATTGAATACTGTATGCTCCTGTAGGGCTGCTGTTAGAATGTACAAGGGACCCATCAAGGTTAAACACACACACACACACACGCAGAGGGTACTCAAAAAATGTATACGCATTTTAAGAAAGGAAAAAACTGTATTAAAATTATGCTGATGGTAACCACTTTGAGCACCTCTTGTAATTGCAGAAGTCAAATGCGACTTGTATTCATCTTTTGTTATCGGTATATAGTGAGTATTACAATCTTAATATAGTTTTTGCCTTTCTTAAAATGTGTATACATTTTATTGGCACCCCTGTGTGTGTGTGTGTGTGTGTGTGTGTGTGTGTGTGTGTATGGCCTCAACAAGAAAAAGAGGATACTAAAATTAAAAAAAAAAAAGGTGAACACTAGAAGAAAACTGAAAAATATCCTCAATACAAGAAAAAGCAAAGAAGAGAGAACAGAGCAAAGTCTATATACACGTTTGTGCGTGTACACAAAGACACCAAAGAGTTGTAACATAGGACAGTAAAAGAGAACTGAAGACAAACTTATCGACAATATAATACAGCCAATGAAAGAAATGAAAAAAACCTAAATACGTCAACCAGGAGTGATCTCCAGGACATATTATTGAGCGAAAAGAGTAAATTGCTCTTTTCTAAATATCTAAAAAGTCACTTTTTGTGTAAGGAGGAGGGAAGTGCAAATATATAAAAGTTTGCTTATATTTGTGAAAAGAAACACTGACAGGTAAAGCAAGTGCACGAAAATGGCTTCCTATGGAGGAAGGGAGGGGAGTGGGTGGAGGCAACAGGGACTGAAGCCAGACTTCTTTAAATAAACCTTGTCATATCCTTTGGCTTTGGAAATAAGATTTGACATATTCAGAGGGGGCAAAAAAAGAAAGCAATGCCAAAAAATTGAAAACAAACAGAAGTAAAGGAACCCCACTACACAAGTTGGTGACACAGGCATGTTGTGAAAACAATTATTTCAGGTGCCCTTAGAACACAATATTTCAAATGAACAGTGAGTCCTCACTTAACGGCATCAATAGGTTCTGCAACTTTAAGCAAAACAACCTATCACAAAACCAGTTTTACCACAGGCTAATTGACAGAAACAAGAGTTAAGCTCCTACAGCGCTATAACGAAACAACATTATTCGAGGACCTGTTGTACATTTTTAATGGGACGTGTTTTAAGGACAAATAGAGCTGCACAGAAATCTTAAACTTCTCTCAGTGCTCGACCTGCCGTCGTCCTACAGGGTTCTCATTCTGAGTGATTATATGTGTGTACAGGAGGATTATGTATGTGAATAACGAGTAAGACAAGTGAACAGGAAATGTTGCGAGGAATCAAGCGTTCCGGAAAAAATATAAACAAAAAAATCAAAGCAGTAATAAATCCTATTACGTTAAAAGGGAATTGAAAGAATCAATATGAACTCTCCCTTCTGCCCCAAACACATCTTTCCTAGTATTTCATTGCAAAAGCTTAAAAGTCCTGATAGCCCAACAGCAGTGAGCGCACACAGCATTCAGAGTGTGTCTCTGAACAACACTGACAACTACAAGCAACCTGGGTTCCCCAAGGAGTGGCTGATGGCAGGTCTGGGATGGGAGGTGCACAGATAAAGGACACTCTGCTGGACCAAAAGCCACCAAAGGCTGACGTGTGCTGTCAGAAGGGCAGGGAGCCAAAAGGAAGGACTCCATCAGCCAAGACAGGATAAGTTGAATATGAAAAGATTAACAGGTACAACTGACAAACACGAATTCACAGAGACTAATAAAACCAAAAGAACCCTCCTCCACCCTCTAGAAAGGAAAAATAACCCTCAATTTACTGGTTAACATTTGAAGTCAGCTCTTAACTCTTTACTCTGAAAACTGGTAATTAAAAGAGAAGCACTGAACTGCCTCTCGTGCACTGTACTTCAAGGTAACAGACTAGTCCTAGTTGATAATGGAAAGTTCTTCACAAAAAAATCACAGCAAATCAATGTGGAGGGGAAGTAGAACCCGGAGCACAGTTTGCTCGTCTGGTAATGGGAGACAAACTCTACAGCACCCACAGGTGGTACTAAGGATTAAGGACCAAGGTCAAGAATCCAGTCAGGCCCCATTAAGCCCTAATCAATATTAACTTCTTCCCCTTAACTCAGGCCTGAAAGAGCCATGCCCACCTCCTTCTTATCACTGTCACCTACATTGGCACTGTCTGGAGGCTGGCCTGGTGGGTGGTGGGAAGAAGCTATTTCCTGTGCTCAGAGAGCTACAACTACAACTGGAGTAAACGGAAATATGTACAGCGATGACATCAAGAAAGGAATCGACCACAGTTTGAAAGAGTCAGGCTGAGTTCTGAACCAGTCTATTAGGACAGGAAAAGTCCCCTATGCAGTTTTTTCTTCCTTCATGCCACTGGTACAAATGCGACCGCTATCAGCAGCTGGGATCTAGCACACTGGAGAGGAAATGCAAAGGAAGCTGACTTCCTCGACTGCACGTAACATGAGTCATGACAAAGAGCTGAGTGTTCAAAGCCTCAGCCCGTCAGAGGCCCCAAATGCCCCAAAGTCAACACAGAGGTGTAACTCCCCGACAAAGCACCTACTTTGGAACCAGTCAAGATAAGGGTGTGTTTCTGGCGCTGGCCAACTCACCAGGTCACTGCTGACCAGGAAAGCTGAGAGGTCCACCAGGACCCACGTGGGGATCATAAAGAAGATGGCATGGCAGCCTAAGATGTTCAGCAGCCGGAGATGGTGGATCCGTGAGTCTCTCAAAACCTGAAGAGAGAAAACTTCTTTAAAGGCTGATTGACATTGTAAGTGGCAAAAAGGGCTCCGTTACCCAGGCCCCAAACACAGTGACTGTACATGAACCTTGACTGCCAAACCTGCAAGTGCACCTATGATGAGACACACAGCCCATGCCCAAAACAAGCACAATGCCTCATGCACAAAGGACCGAGAAAAGGAAAAACAAAACAAAACAAAAACCAGCAATACTCAATGCTGGTGAAGCTGCAGTGAAAGAGGCACTCTGAAATCCTGCTGACTTACTTCTAAGTTGGTATAGAGCTGTTTCAGAATACAACCAGGTAAAGTATATCAAGAGCCATAAACATCTCATACCCTCTGACCCAAGAACTGTAAACCAATCATAAGGAAATAACCTGAGAGAAAAACATTATGCAGAAAGATGTTCATTACTGCATTGTTTACAATGAATAGTTGGAAATAACTTGCATTTGCAATAGGAGAACTGAATTCATTATCTGTGTACCTAAAAAGACTGTGATTTGATTATTACAGGAGTTGAAAGCAACATTTTTTAAAATTAAATTTTATTGAGGAACAGTGTGTTTTTCTAGGACCCATCAGCTCCAAGTCAAGTAGTTGATTTAATCTAGTTGTGGAGGGTGCAACTCAGTGGCCCATGTGGGGATCGAACCAGCAACCTTGGTGTTATAAGCACTGCGCTCTAACCAACTGAGCCAACCGGCCACTCCAAAAGCAATCATTTTTAATGATGTGGTAGAATGTAATATTACAACAGTAAATGAACAAAGCAAAATTCTAAAATGTATCTATAATATTACAACTGTAAAAGCTGTGCAGAAAATACCCCTAGCATTAACAGTTCTCTTTAGGGGATAGTACCGTGACTTTACTCAATAGCGTAGAAACCCCTGGGCAGGGGGACAGGTCTCCTGATTCTTCATCTCCAGCATCCACTATGGTGCCTGGCACACAGTAGGTGCTCAATTCTGATTTTTTCCCTTTGGGTTTTTCTCTATTTTTTCACATTGAGTATATGCTAACTGTATGATAAAAAAACTATTAAAAAATTAAACAACAAATAGAAAACCAGCAGAAGGGCAACATGAATTTTTTTGCTCCAACACCAAAGAAATCCCTACTTGGCCACCTTTTCAAATGCCACCTATGCACCCCCAAAACACCACGGACATCCCAGATGGTGCCCAAATACCTTTTTGGAGAAAATATTCTGAAGTGAGAAGCACAGTGTGGCAGCAAGGGCACTGATGAGCCCCCACATGTCAAACGACAACTCCGTGACAGTGGCCAGCAGGACGCCGCTGATGATGGGGATGAGTGACAAGTATACCTGTGGGAGGAAGGCAAGAGGGGCTGATGGGCCGTTGTCCTGCTGGGCTGTCCAACACAGACACCCGGGGGAAAGCCTGAGCTACTCTCTCCTCCCTCACCAAACGGACACCACCTACCCCTTTGGACAATGGTGTTAGCTGTGACAGTGATGCTCTGGGGGGTTGAGGGGAGGCAGATGGTTATCAGAGTTATCAGAGTACCTGGGGCAGGGCTGTGTCACTGTGGGCAGCCCTATTCCCTATACCAACACCCCCATTAAGAGCCCCTGCTCAGGGCCACAAACCAGGCTGGTCCTAACTTCTATCCAGCTGCCACCACCAACACACCAGGGTCTGAAACCCCAATCCTCCAAGAGGTTCGCAGGGTCCCTCTTTCAACATGCAGTTACCCTGGCTGGGACACTCCCCCCCACCCCCCCTTCTCCAATTGGAGACCTCTCTTCCCCTCAGGTCTCAATTCACACACCATTCGCAAGAACTTCCCCAACCCGCCTCCCCCCACCCCCCGTCAGATTCCTCTGCTGCGTGTTCCCAAGCACAGAGCTTTCCACCCCTTATAAGTGTCCGTTACATTGTCTGTGCTGCTGCACTCCTTTAGGGCAGGTCCTTGTTCACTGCTCTATCTTGGTGCCCAGCACACAGCAGGCATCCAGTAACCGCTGGCTGAATGAACGAGTAACATGCCATGATAGGAGGACTTCCAGAAGGTCTGAGCTTTCCTGAGCCTGGCGCATGGAATGGCTCCTGAGCTCTGCTGACTAAATGGCTCCCAAATTCCAGGAAATGGGATCCATTCCTGACGTCTAGTTTTTCTGACTCCCCACTTACCTGTCTCCTACGAAGGACATTCTTAAAGCATTGTGGAGATTTTAGGAGGGGGTAGTGAGGCCCTCCCACTCTTCCCCAAACCACCCATTCAGAGCAAGGGCTCTGAATTCCAGCTCCCCTACTACTGGCTGTGGCCCTTAGGCCACATGACTCTCTCCTTACAAGTCCCATTTCTTCCCCTGAGATCTGGAATGACCTGCCTTATCTGCCTCATGGGTGGGTCCATACTTATTCCATCATTATCATTAGTCTCCTGCTCAGGCCATTCCCCACTGCTTCCTCCCTGGGTGAAGTTTCCAGCTCCTTGCCCAAGCCGGGTCCAATGTCCCAGACAACGGGGAAACCTGATAAACATGCTGTGATATCGAGTGATGCAGTTGCACACCTCCCAGGCAACTCCAACCCAGAAGACAAGTCACATCTGACATCACCCTGGGAGCAAGCCGCAGAGCACACTCAGGTCTTTCAGGGAAAAAGCTGGGCTGAAATAAAAAATCAGCTAGAGGTGGCCCAATTTCTATAAGCTAATCCAGGGCACTGCTGCTCTGAGTTACATAAAATACAGGATGCCAGAAATTGACCACGTAGAAAGAGGTGCTCTGTCCAATATGAAATGGATTCCAGCTGGGACAACAGGAGCCCCACTTCCACTTAAGGACACAGGCAAAGCTGTCTCTGGCTGAAGCCACAGCTTCTCTCACCCTAAGCCAGAAAATACCCTGGGTTGGCATCTTGAACAGACCCTGGATTGTGCCCAAAGCATCTTCCTTATGCAGCCCTGGGTCCTGTGTGTTGCTTTCACTTCCATTCTCAGACATTCCCAATTCCTGGCTGTTTTTATTCCAAAGACTTTGCTGAATTTTGCCAAAATCAGACTCTTTTGACTATCATCCTACTCTGACCCTAAGAACCCCTAACCTGACTGACCCGTCTCTTGCAAAGAAGTGAAACTCTGTCAGATTTCCATTCCAGCAAGTTAGATGTTTCATCCCAGATACCACTGGAGGGGCACAGGGTGCCTGGCCAAGGCGGGACCAAGTCGTTGCCTACCTGCAACCCCGGGGAAGGGAATCAAAACAGGGAGTAAAGTGGGACCAGAGAGACACAGCAGAGTCCATGAGACCAAACAGCAGAGACGACACAGGGACACACACTGCCTCCAGGGTGATTTGAGAAAATTTGCAGCAAAAGGGCCACCAGAGGCATCTAAGCTGACTTCCTTATTTACCAGGAAGCCTGGCAGCCTGCAGGCCAGGAGCTTGGACCACGTCACTAGCCAGGCAACAGCGAAGAAGCCCTTGGAGCCCCCTCCTGCCCAGAGCCCTCCTGGGTTACCTTGGTGCTCTGCTTCTCTTTCATGATGATCCGAGACAGAAGGACCACCCAGATGGGCATGGTGGCCTTGACTGCAAAAAGAAGCAAGGAGTGCTCAGGGATCAATTCTAGCCCAGGGGCGCACCCTGGGAGCCTGTCCCAAATCCACCACGGGTTGCGACAGCTTGGCAGCCCCTCAAACCTCTTCAGTCCTTCTCTTTCTGTGGGGCTTCCCCCCCCCCCCATCCCAACAGTTGTGGTCCGCCCAGCTCGGCTCCCCAGCTCCCTAGACCCTCGTGCTTGTAGCTCCCCTGCTAACAGCCTCGGCAGCCCCAGCCCGGCATTGTAGGCTAGATATCAATCCTTGGTCGGCCGCGGCACCCACCGGTGTGCGCGTAGGACACCGGCACCTTCCAGATGCTGATGTGCGCTGACACGGACGCGAAGTACTTGCCGAAGGCGAGCGGCAGCACATAGCGCGGATAGAAACGCGGCGGCAGCAGCGGGCCGGGCGACGGGTGCGGGCTGGGCCCGGGGCCCGAGACTGGCGGCGCAGGGGGCACGCGCCAGGCGCGCAGCAGCGGTGGGAGCCCGGCGCACAGAGCCAGAATGTGGCACAGCGACACCGTCACGGGGAACGGGAAGGCGCTCAGGATCACCTTGTTAACCACGTTGCCGCCTGCGCTCAGAGCGTACCACAGCAGGCACAGCGCTGCCACCCGCGCGCCCTCGCGCGCCCCGCTGCCGCCGCTCCCCGCGCCCTGGACCCCCGCGCCGGCCGCCACCGCCGCCATCCTGCCTGAGCCGCCACCCCTTCCCGCCCGTCCGACGGCCAAACGCGGGGCAGGAGCAGGGCCGGGATGGGCGGGAGCGCCAGCCAACGCCGCTCCCCATTGGCAGATGCTGTCTTGTGTCACCGCCGCGCGCCAGCTGACGCGCCCGCCACCACGTAGCGAGGGCAGGCCCCGCGTCCCGCGGTGGGCTTCCGGTAGGGGCGGGGCCTATCTCGGAAGCGGAAGGAGTTGCGGACTGGGAGCTGAACGCGTCTGCAGGATGGTGGGCTGGCCCGGGGACCGGGAGCCGAGGATCGGGAGCCGGAGCCCGAGCGGAGTGGGCGGGCGCGCAAGGGCTGCGACGCACCGGCGTTTATGAGCCGGCCGTCGAGCTCGCGGGCCACGCCTCGACGTCCGCGCTACACTGGCGCCCTCAACCAGATTCCTGATGGGCAGGCGGCAGCGGAGGTGAAAGATCTTTTACCGAGGGTGAAAGACCAAGTTGTGAAAAGCTGAAATTCTTTCTGAAAATCGGGAGCCGAAGTCGATCATCGGGAACACGTCCTGGGAACCGTCACGACGTGCTCTGTGCGGTAGGTATGACCCTCTCCATTCACAGACGGACAGACTGAAGCTCAGACATGGCAGCTTCCTCGGGCACTGTCTACAGGGCTCTGTGGGAGGAGAAGGCGCAGCCCCCGACTGCTGGCGCCCCAGGACCAGCCGGGTTGGAACGATCCCAGGCCCCAGCGGAGAAACAAAATCGGTGTTTTCAGCAAGATGAGTTTTCATGTGCTCCAAGTCACGTACTAATAACAACTTTTGGGCGGGAAGAGGGTGTTAAAATTCTTTTACAGTGGCAAGCTATAAAGTGGCAACCCAGTGATCTCCAAAATGTTGGAGGAAAACCTTAGTTTAAACTTCAGTTTTTAAAGGTAGGCAATATCTACCCTGGAACTTACTGGATACTCAGACAGGAAAGGTGGTCCCTGTAGGTGGGGCAGGGAGCAGAGACCTGTCCCAAAGCCCAGGTCTGAGGAACGGAGGTTCTTCTCATAGCACACCAACCTGCACCCTAATATCTCCCAGCTGTGCCAGCCACCCTTTGTCACAGACTGTTACTTTCTTGGATACCGCATGGCAGCAGGGCTGGCCACACATTAAGCGGGAGAAAACAGGCAGGTGGAGTTAGGAAAAGAACTAGATACTCCACAGAACAGATGGTTCCACTGACTTGTTTTTAAACTTTGATCTTTTAATTTAGTCCTCACAACTCTGGAGTATTTACATCTCCCAAATGGGGACACGTACTCAGGAGTGAAGTGATTAGCCTACAGCCACACAGCTGGTAGATGGCAAAGCCGGTGTTCAAACTCAGACTGCTCTCAAAGCCACTTCACCCACAGCCCTCTTCTTGGGGGTGGGTGTCCTATACCAAGGCTAGGTCAGATCCCAGCTGGCTCTGTCCTGACTGTTCCTGGACCCCTTGGTTTGCCCTGTGGGGCTGCCCCTCTTAAGGGGTAGCTGCTTCCTCATCTATGAAATTAAGTAGGTATGTCCAAAATAACCTATTCCAAAGTGAAAAAAGCTAGAAAATCAAAGTCAGCTTGTGGTTCCAGAGACAAGGGGGGAGAATTAAACAATTTATCACTTTATAGTCAAGGGAGAAGTTATTTTTTTTTGCTCCCTTTTGCATGGGGAGCTGGCAGCCTGGGGCCAGGTCCAAGGGGTATGCTGCTAGACAGGGCTCTGTGCCACGCCATGTAAAAACTACAAATAGGGAGCAAAACAAGGTCACCGAGACCTAGGCCACTGAGCCTGCTTAGGAGGGCTTCTTTCTGGGGCAGGTGAGGCCTGGAAACAGGATAAGATTCCTTGATGTGGATCCTCAGTCTCTGTCACCCAAACCTAGCAGGTGACCTTGGAGGTGGGAGAGGCAGCATGTGGCCCTGAAAGGATGGAAGGCAAGTAGAGGTCAGTGCCCATGCAGAATGCTAACAGGCTGACTTGGTCACTTTGCCTGCCTGCCTTCCTGCAGTCTGGCTGTGGGGCCTGGGGTCTTTCTAGCTCATCCAGAATCCAGAAAGAGTTGATTTGGCTGTAAAGGACTAAATTAGAAATGATCCTCAGACTGGTTTGTGCAAATGGTTTTTTTTTTTTTTATTTCCACATTTATATCACAAGGTGTCCACTTATTGGACCAAATAGCAAAGTTGCTCCCTTCTGCATCCTGAGAACACAGAAGTCTAGATACTGTACATTCACTAAGGCTCCTTGTTTTTGCAAATCGCGTTATGACAATAACCATAAGGCAAACGAATCTAAAGGAATGGTCATGAGTGTTTCCAGCGCACAGACAGGTCTCCTCGCCAACAATACAGCTTACAAACCAGTAGCACCTGTGGGAACTGTGTTTTGGGGATGGGACTCTAGAAAGGTGTTTTCTAGATATGTGCAGGAAGGGGAAAATGAAAAGGGATAAAGAAAGGAAAATTATTTGGCTGGTGGTGAGACGGAAGAGGGGAATAAAATAAACTCTAGAAAACGTAAATTTTTGCAGCATTTCTTTAAAAACTGGGTTTGAACTGAAACCAGATACTAATGTGTGGATGCCCATGGGGTGTGGGTCAAACTAGCCGGCCAGGTGGCCCGCCCAACACCAGCAGCTTACTGCAGCCGAGAAGCTTCTGGCACCAGGACGGAAACACTGGCCTGGCAGGGTGCAAACAGAGGCTATGGTGTTGGCCACAGCCTCAGACACTCAGGACCAAATTAAAGAACAGGAAACACAGATGAGATGCGTGCTTCTGTTGCTGTGTTAAAGGTAACCTCTCCCATAGGTTTTCTGTGCCTGCCTGCCATTAAGGTCCCAGCACACAGGTGCTGGGAAGTGTCCGCACCTCTTTTGGGGTGTGGGACTGACGCTTTTTATAGCTGGTTTGCTATAGAGTTCTGAACTCACTTTGCCGGCCTTCCTTCCACATGGTCCTTCCTTTGTAATTTTGTTAGTAAACTGGTAGCAGCATTTCACAAAAGAAGGAGAATTTTGAGGGAAGAGCATGGAGAGACCGAGACTCCCGCCCCCTCCCTCCCACCCTGGCCGTGCTCCCAACCACTGGAGGCTTCCAGGCCCCAGCCACCCGCCCGCTAACTGCAAGGCAGGAATGCACTTAGAGGCCAAGGGCCAGTCAGTCCAAGCAGACATAAGGCAGAATGTTCAACCGCCCGTCGTCGCCGTGCGGGTCGAGCGATATGCACTGCGTCCAGTCATACCAATTACCCTGTGTGTCCTGACACCCGTTCACCCCTGGCCACTGGCGGGCCTGGATTCTGTCCAGATCATCCTGCGTGACCTGGCGGCTCAGCCCTGGGAGGTCGGTGGGCGGCCCTGGAGGCAGTAGCACGTGTGGCGTCCTGGCCCCACGCCGGGTGCTCTCCTCCTGCTTCAGGTACTCGGACATGAAGTGGTGGGCCCCCGGGGTCTGCGCGCCTGATGATGAGAGCAGGCTGCTCTGCCGGCTCAGGTAGGACTGGATGATCTCATTGCGTGACAGCTCCTTCCAGTTCGTTTGCTCAAAGGGGCTCTGGAGGCTGGCCTTGGCCTCGGGCTTGTCCAGCTCTGTCCTAGGCTGCTCCATGTGCACAGGGCTGTCGGCCTGTACTGGCTCTTTCTGGGTCAGAGGTTTGATCTGTCTTGTCATGGGGTCAAAGGTGAGCTTCCGCTCTTTTAACCGGACAGGCTTGACGCCCGCCTCGGCCATCTGGCCGTCCAAGTTCACCGTGTAGTCACGAGGCCGGTACCTCTTCTTCTTTTTGCTGTCCGAGCCACCAGAGGAGGCCGCATCACTGTCAGCCCTGGAGGAGTCCGGGGAGAAGCCAGCCCTGGGCAGGAGGGGCTCAGCCTGGGGTGGCCCCGCCTTGCAGCCTGGCCCCACCAGCCGCTGGTGACCCTCAGGCTGCTCTAGCCAGCACACTGGGCTATCAGCACTGGGCAGCAGTTCAAGCCTCCGCACAGGAGGTGTGGACGGCTGGGCCAGTGGCAGCGGTGACGGCACCTGCGTGGCATCAAGCGACTGGGGCCGTGGTGAGGGGCTGGGCACAGAACCCTTGGGTGTGTATGGACTCCGCTGCCGTGCAAAAGAGCCCTCATGCCGTGAGTTCCGGGGACTAAAGGAGCAGCGAGGTGGCCCCTTGGGGTGGGGGGGACCTGGGGTCTCGTCCACCCTGTCCAGCTGCTGCAGCATCACAGCCTTGCTCTGCAAGCAGGGCCCAGGGGGCTTGCCTAGGCCCGGAGAGCTGGTGTGTGGCCTCACGGCATTGACAGGGATCTTGCCACTGTGCTTGTCATTCTCACCATGCTCTAGGCGGCCACCCTCGGGGCCCACGTGCCCACTACTGTCCAGGGGGCCTGGGAAGCTCTCGGGGCTCCCGCCAATCCCGTTGGTGGGGAAGGGTGATGAGTTGGGGACCAGGGAGTCATGGCTTGCTTTGGAGACCTTGGGAGGTGGCCCAGGGTGGCCGAGATCGCGCTGGTCCCCCCGGCGCTTGCGGCTGCCCAGCCTGTCCAGCCGCTGCCCAGGCAGCCTCTGGATGTCATTGCGGTTTTTCAGGTCATGGATGCTCTTGGGTGCACTGGCCACCCCCGCCTCCGGCCGGCAGTTATGGGCACCCCCGTTGGCAGAGCCAGGGGCCCCCGCCAGCCCCCGCAGCGCCGCCTCATTCTGGTGCACAGGCTCGATGAGTTTCTGCCAGCTCCGCAGCAGCTTCTTGGCCCGCTTGGCGAGCTCCTCGTTCTTGGTCTTCTTGCGGACGTCGTTGATGAGCTTCCCGAGTCTAGTTTCCTACAAACAGAGAGAGACTATGACACACTGTTGGGATAGGGAGTCCCCCGTGAGCCCCAAAGTACCGGCTTCCCAGACACAAAACCTACAAGGATTTTGGGTCCTTTGTGACATCTAAATTCTCAAATCTAGTACTCAGACTCTCGAGGGTCCCGGAGCCAGAGACAGCATTCTCAGAAGTACCATTCTGCAGGTTGCTGGCGCCAAGGCCACTGCAAGGGCACTCTGCCAGGGAAGAGCACATTGTGGCAAAGGCAACAGCAAACGAAGGGCCCAAGGCCAGCATCACCCCCTGCAGCCTCCCCTGGGCATAACCCCCCTGCCCCTGAGGGTGCAGGGAATCCTGTGGAGAAAGAAGCCCCAGTTCTGAGACTGAACCCCCTAGTTCCTGCAGTGCCCATGGGAAAACGGCACTCTCAACCATGTGCTGTGGGCCAGGGATGCTCACCTCCAGTGCCTCTTTGGTAATGGGGTATTTCTCCAGGCTGGAGATGACTTCCAGCACCGCCACCATGTTCCGGATCTGCAAGACAAGAGTCACTCGTCATGCCCCTGCCCGTCTCCCTCTTCCTCACACCAAGAGCCAATGGAGCCGCGCATTACTGAAGCCCCGTCCCACACAGCCTCCTACCTGCTCCAGGGGCCAACGTGGCACCCAGTGCTCACCCTCCCTTCCATGTACACGTCCACCCACCAGCCTGGCTGTCACACAACCACAACTCATGACGTGAAACAAGATCTGCTCTTGATCTGGGAGACTCACTCTACTCTGCCATCTGGTGGGGTGGGAGGCTGAAGTATGTATTAAATAAAACGCATTTAAGCTTAAAAGAAAAGATTGATACATAATAATCCAATTGATTTGGCTACATTAACAAGACCTTTTCATCCAAAGACACCATGGAGAGCAAAATGTCAGAAGGTTGGAGAAGACAGATGCCACAGGGCCCCAAGGATCCCCATCTGGAACACATAGAGACCCTGGGCTAAACAGGAGGTTGCAGCGCCAGTGCTCATCTCCTGGTAATCAGGAAATGCAAACTGAACCCCTCAAGTGGATGCTCTGCACATGCTCACCTGGCAGAAGTGGTACCTGACAACACCAAAGAGCTCTGGGCACAGCAGACTGGGGAGAGGTGGACTCTGTCTAGTACAGACAAACATGGGTCATCTTACGACCAAGCAATTACATCCCTTTTAGATACATGCTACAAGCCAGGCCCAGTCCTACTCATATTTCCATATGTCACCACCTTGTTTGTCACAACAATCCTGGAGTAGGTATTATCATCACATTTTATAGATAGGAGATGCCACAGAAAGGTTCAGGTCATGTGGTCAAATGTTATGATGATACCAGTGTCCTCCGAGTCAAACAAACAGAATGAGAAAAATAAAGAGCCATAGAAATGAGCAAACCACAGCTTCTGTGCACCATCAAGACAGAGCTCAAACCATGGGGAGTGATGTATGTATCAGAAATACATACGATCAATTCCACTTACACCAAGCAACACAGCATACTCAAAATTAATTCAAAATCAACTATAGACCTAAATGTGAGAGCGAAAACTCTCAGGCTTCTAGAAGAAACAAAGAAAATCTTTGCTACCTTGGGGCAGACAAGAATTTCTCAGGAGCCAGGAGCCCCAAAGCACTAACCATCCAAGAAAATAATATGGACAAACTAGGCTTCATCAAAATTAAGAACTTGGAGACAGCTGAGTGGTGCGTTGGTTAAAGAGTTGGCTTGGGACGCCAGCTCTGAGTAGCAGGGCCCTGGTTTGGATCCCACATGAGGGCCGGTGACACTGCGCCCTCTACAGCTAAGATGGTGAACAGCTCAACCTGGAGCTGGGCTGCCGTGAGTCACTGGCGACGACATAGGCTGCAGCGGGGCTGCAGTGGGCTGCCGTGAGCTACTGTGAGGGGCCGGCAGCTGGTGTGAGCTGCCATGAGCCGCCATTCAATGGCCAGTGAGCGACTGCCTCACCCGGGAAGAGCGCAATGATAAATACCAACATGGGCCAGTGAAGCAACGTCCTCCACAACTAGACTGAAGAACAAAAGGACAGCAACTTGTCTGTTCCCCTTCCCTAATTCCCCAATAAAATCTTTAAAAAAAAAAAGAACTTGGGCTTACTAAAAGACACTGTTAATGAAGAGGTAAGCCTCAGTCTGGGAAGACATGTTGACAAAACATTCCCACTGAAGGTTTGGGTCCAGAATAAGGAAAGAACTCCTACAGCTTCACAACCCAACAGTTGCAGTTTTCCAGTGAGCTGGTTGTGGGGGGAGCCCATGACCCAAAGAAGACCCCTCTCCCCTCCAAGATCACACGGTGAGCACATCACCTCCCCCACCCCTCCCACACAAGCACCAAGTTATGCACACACGATACAGCAAGGAAAGGTACACCTCCCACCCAGCCACTGCAATGTCTCCTTGTAGCTTTTCCATAAATATTCCTTGCATGTGCAAGCCTGTGTATACACTTACCACATTAAAAAAAATCCAAACAGTTCTATACCTTACTCTTTCTCACTAACATGTGAAACGTCCAGCAGCACAGACCCTCCCTTTGCTTAGCCTTCCAGTGGGTGGAGGCCCCAGTGAGCAGCGCCTGTTGAGGGGACACTTAGGTGTTTCTAATCAGTTACAGACAAGGCTGCAATCACCGCCTTTACCAGATGTGACTCTCGGCTAACAACAAACAAGCAGCCAGAGGGGCTGTTGGCTCCAAGGCCGTGAGCAACTGTAATTAACCCCCAGGGAGGCTGTTCCCATTGGAAGGTGGGGAAGCCTGTTTCCCACATCTTTGCCAGCACTGTGCTGTATCAGTTTCCTGCTGCTGCCCAAATGATCACACAGGATCACAGACTGAGCAGCTTAAACGAAACACATGCATCATCTCACATCTCAGGATTCAGAGGTCAGGAGTGTGCTCAGGTCTCTCTGGGCTGCCATCCAGGTGTCGGCACGCTGCCCTGCTTTTGGGGGGCTCCCAAGGGCCTGTTTCCTACTCCTTCAGGTATTGGCAGAATTCAGTCCCTCCTTGCTGCAAGACTGAGGTCCCTGTTCTGTTGGTGGCTGTCATCTGAAAGCCATTCCCAGCTTCTGGGAGGAATTGCATTCCCCTGCTCGCCCCCACCCCTATCCATCTTCAGAGTCAGCAATAGCGCACAGCCCTCACATCTCATTTTTTTTTTTTAAAGATTTTTATTGGGGAATTAGGGGGATGAGAAGTGCTGGGGAATTGGGGGAAGGGGAACAGACAAGTTGCTGTCGTTTTGTTCTTCAGTCTAGTTGTGGAGGACGTTGCTTCACTGGCCCAAGTTGGCACCATCATTGCGCTCTTCTCTGGCGAGGCAGATCAGTCGCCGGCTTCTGGACGGCTGCTCACTGCGGCTGCTGGCCGCTCACGCTGGCTGCTGGCTACACACGGTAGCCCATGGCAACCCACTGCCACAGGGAGTGCAGCCTATGCCGTCGCAGGCGACTCATGGCAGCCCAGCTCCAGGTTGAGCTGTTGTTCAGCATCTTAGCTGTGGAGGGCAGTGTCACTGGCCCTCATATGTGGGATCCGAACCGGGGCCCTCTGGCATCCCAAGCGAGTTCTTAACCATCGTGCCACTCGGCCGGCCCCCTCACATCTCATCTCTGACCACCCAGGAAAGGGTATCCATTTCTAAGGACTCCATCAGGCTGGGCCCACCCAGATACCCCAGGTCTACACCCTTAGTCACATTTGCAAAGTCCCTTCTTCCCTGTAAAGTTCCACATTCCCAGGTTCTGGGGACTAGGATGTGGACATCCTTGGGGGGCCATTACTCTGCTGGCCACATTCAGCTTTTCTTATCTGCCCAATTTCCAGCTGAAGGCAGCCTGGGAGTCAATTGCAGTGACCACAGAGCAACAACACTGCCCCTCACTATGCCTGGCAGCTCTCGCAAAGTTGCTCCTCTGCCAGGGGGCCAACCTGCATCCTGGCAACAAAGGCCTTACCTCACGATGTTTTTGTTCAAGGCTGTGGCCATGAACACATCCAGATGGCCCTAAAAACCTCCTCTCCAAGCCGCGCCAAGGGAGAGGGTCTGAGAAACAACCCCCACATACCTCTAACATGCCGAGGGCAGGGAGGCAGTGCAAGAGGAGATTGGGCAGTAAGGAGGTCGGTCCCACAGGGACAGCAAGGCCACCCACTCCCTGTCCCCAGCCCTGGGTATCTGGCCCCGACAAGGTCCTAGGCTTGCCACATGGCCTATCTCCACTCCAGTGACCTCACCCTGGTATATTTAGAGCCCTGGGTCCCCACACACTCCTGAACCAGCAGTCCCCGCAGAGCAAGCCCGGCAGCACAAAGTGTCCTTGTCCTTGGACAGACGTTGTCCCACTGCCAGACAGGAGGGGGAGGCAGAACACCTGGGCAGCCCAGGGCTGGAAGTGAGCTGGTGCCACAGACATCCCAAAGCCAGGACCCTCCTTGGGAGCTGCACAGGAGCTGGGACTGGTCAGGCCTGTGGGCCCTGCTGTCACTTGGGCATTGTGCAAAGAGGCCCTCGGCCTTGTGGAAAATGCTATCCCCTGCCTCCTCCTTCTGCCCTGGATGCATGGAAGTTCGAGACCAACCTGGGGGCTCATCCCTCTGGCTCTGCCCGCCTGTCAGGCCATGATGGCAAGGACACTGAGCACCGTATGGGAAGCAGCACCCTGGCATTCCAGATACAGTCAGTCAGCATATCCTGAGAAATGCTACAAGGAGTCTGGCCCCGAGCCCTGGCCCTCACCACACCCAACAGGCAGGAAGGAGTCCTGGGGTCTGTGCAGTACCAGGCTGAGCCTCTGGCCTCAGACCCAGTAGGCAGTGTCACCTTGGCCAGCTTATCAGTAGGCAGGGGCCCCGACCCCAGACAGAAGAAGGCTCCTGTCATGAACTTGCCTTTCCAACCCATCCACCAACTCAAAAGCAGCAGGCCTCCCACCCTTGATGGGAGGGCTAGTGGGCAGCATAGACACCAAGGCTCAGATGTGGCCATGGGGAGGCTGGCACCCAGGCTCCAGGCCTGCAAAGCCCAGCACGGGTCCTCGGGGCAAGGAAGCGGGATGTCAGCTGGAAGGCAGGCAAGCAGGCATGTCTATGGTGAGGGTAACACCTGAGCGGGGCCCCCCAGAGTGGAGAGCAGAGGTCCCAGAACCTTGGGAGATGCTTAGATGGCACTAAAGCCCCGCAGAGGGGACCAGAGCGAAGATTACAAGAGACCAAAACCTGCCTTGTATTAACTCCAGCCGCCCATTGGAGCTGACTCCTGCCACCACTCCAACATTCCACCTGTCTGTATGAAAATACATGTGCTCATCACTGCAGCACACACACTGCTCCATCTGGTACTTTGGGGCCGAATCTGCAGGCCATGGCCGAGGGCCACATGCAGCTCCTGCTGTCAGGAATAGCCCAGCACATCCATGGCCCTCTCTGCCTTTGGATGTTTTCCTTGGGATTCTTCCCAGTAAACCCCCCCCCCC